GTTTGGAAGCTCTCATCATATCATTTGAGCTTAATTGAGGTTCCACATGAGTGATTTGTGTGTGGTCATGCTAAGAATGTGAAGTGAGTGTGGAGGTAGTTCTTCAAAGTGAGCATTGTTCCTTAAGTTAAAAAAAATGTGGCATGTGTATATAGCTCTCTATAGCCCTCAAAGAAAAGAAAATGAAATCAATAAAAGGACAAAGAAGAAAAGAGAGTGGCCACCAAAAAAATAATAAAATGTTGAACATGCTCTTAGAAGTGTTGCTTGGCATGAAAGTATTAGGAACACTTACATGTTGTTTCCCTACCACACTCTTGTGCTTGAAATTGAATAGTGAATGTAGAAAGAAAGGTTGTTGTGAATGGGTTGGTGATTGGTTGTGTTTTGGATTAGTGGGAAGTTTGGTTTTTGGCCGATGCTAGTGGCCATGGTTTGTAGGAGAAAGTTCTAGTCAAAACATAGAACCTCTCGCTATTGTGCCACCATCCAAATAGCATTTTCCCCATATCCTTGACCCTATCCGGTCATTTGAACCCGTGTCTAAGTCCTCCAGACAAGCTAACAATGATACCCATCTTGTGAACTCTAACATTTAGAGGTTACCGTCATGGTAAAAGGACGTTAGAATTGAGCATGAATATGCACATCTTTTGAATCAAATGATCCTGACCCCACTGGTCGAGAGTGAGTGATTCATTCATCTTGTTTTGTTCATGTCTTATCCCCCGGTGAGGACCTACGTTGCTCAATCGTTCGTTCCTATGATGTGATTTTCATGCATGAGTGATTGTGATTGGGGAGTCATCGAAACAGGTTATGTGTTGGTTGATGAATAATGTGAGAACTCTTCATTTTGACAATCTTAATACAGTTGAATGTCGTTTGTGTTGGTTGCCATGATTACCTTGTTTTTGTCCATAGGTCGATGTCAAAATAACCATTGAGATTCATTTTGTTTTGTGCCCTATGACATGCCTCGAAAATTTTGTTGAAAAAAAAGTTGTAAGCTTACCTTGTTTTGTACTTGGTTTGCTTGGGGACAAGCAAACATTCTAGTGTGGGGGTGTGATTCGGCTCAATTACACATATTTTAGCCCTCATTTCTTGATTGTTTGACTTCGTTATCATCGTCCCTCAACCTATTTTACGCTAGGTTATGCTTATTTTGTCACATTTCAGGTCCTAGTACATGTGGGAAGTTACGGGACGAGTTTTGGGTCATTCAGAGATCAAAACGAGCCCAAAAGTGGAGGTCTCACGGGTTGGAGGCAAATGTCACGCCCTTTGACCGTATAAATCACCCCCATAGAGTGAAGAGCAAGAGTTCAAGGGCAGGACTCATTTATCACGGTCCCAAGACCTAGATAATCACCCCCTGACTCTTCCCGAATATCACACTTAAATCTCACCTAAGGCCCAAGTATAAACCTTAAATGGGTGCAATATAGGACAAGTATGTTTAAATATCAACCCGGGCCGGCCCATGTACCCCTACTTCGATTGTTTGAAACATTATCTAGCGGAATTAAGTTTGTGGAAATCTCTACAATCTACGTTTAAAAAATGCAAGACTTGAAAAGTAAAGGGATTGAAACTCTTGGTGAAAAGCTTTACTCAATAGTTGTTTCCCCTAACTAACTACCATGAACCGTGGGATCGAATGAATCAGTGTGCGACAAGGCGATTGCGAACCGTTAGGAGGAGAAACAGTGGTTGAAAACCACACTCTCAATCTCTAGGCTACAATTGTAGCCCTCTTGGCCCAAGCAATTGAGGGTTGACTTACCTTCTCCCTTAATCACAATTAACCTAGGTGTTCAATTTGAGTTAAGAGGTTTGCCCTACATTAACCTAGATAGGAGGCAGGGAATGCCCAAGAAAACCCAGCTCAATTTGAGCCTCTTAAGATAAGGGGATTTTACTCTAAGCTAGGTAAGAATAGCACAATAGATTGCCAAGCACACACAATGCGCAATCACCATGAAAAATACCTCAAACCTTAAATTAAACACCACCCACACACAATCATTCAATCCCCATAATATCCTACATGGTAGAAGTTAGGGTTCTACAACACCCAAGTGAAAAGGGAGGCTACTCCATTCTAGACAAAGGAAGAACACAAAGGAAAAAGGAAAAAACTATCATTGTGATGCCTCAATCATTCCTTGTGCTTGTAAAGATCCTCTCTTGAAGAGGATCTTCCCAAACCTTGAATTGGAGAAAACCCAAGCCTCTTCTCTCTCTTGGTTCGTGGGTTTCTCTCTCTAGGGTTTCAAGAAGAAGAAGGTTTCTCTCATTTTGGGCTCTCCTTTCTTCCTCCTTTCAACTCTCCTTTTATAGACTAATCACGCCCAGTTCTAGGGTTTCGACCCAAAACACCAAAGGAGAGAGAGAGAGAGAGAGAGAGAGAGAGAGAGTTCTTGAGTGGTCTTGGAGCTTAATTGAAGGCATTGATCAAACTTGGGAGCAAATAATCAAGCCTAAAAGAAGAAGAAGAAGATTTTGGGCTCCAATTTGTAATATCTCTCTTCTCTCTAGAAACTCACCCTCTTCTCTTGGGGTTTAAGAACCCTAGGTCTATGTTTTGGTTTGTTGTTGATGTATGTGACAAATTTTATGTTTGATTGATGATTTTACTTAATTGATGGACGTTTGATGAATTGCATGAGTTAGGTTTCCATTTTCATGTTTTGAGCTTTTGAACTAGGAGGGAGAAAATCCCCTTAGAGCCCATTATTGGTGTCTTTGGGTCACTCCTCATCCTATATCGTCCAGGTGATCCCCGAGGGAGTCGATTCCATCAATGTCCTATCATATAGGGTTTCCCTAGATTGAATAGAGCACACCCCATTCATTGATTTGTCGCTCTGGGTCATTCCCAAGGGAGTCCATATCCTAACGGTAGAGTATTTGAGTTGATCGAGTTAGGAGGATACCCAACATCGATCCAAGGGACGGACCTAGGACGATTCAACCCAAGAGAGCTTCAAACCTTGTAAATATATAGGTTAGTGGTTAGTTTATGTTGGTCAGTTTAGTTTTATTAATCACTATATATCCTAGGTTGGCTAGATAACGAACCCTAAACCGAAGTAAGGTAAGCCTAGATCCCCGCGGTACGATAAATTATTATTGCTTGCTTGCCCTATGCTATACTCAGTCCACGGTTATACTCGGCTGTTGATTGGGATATTGTAGTTGGAACGAGTCAAAGGCTTTAAGATTCTCCTCAATGAATGAGCCTTAAGGACTGAAACTCAAACCTTCCCCAAGCCATTTACTTTTGACCACTCACCTCTAGTCTAAGTAGTAGAATCCAGTCGGTTTAAGTATGTGTTATAGGTATAATATGACCCTCTACTATGCATTTAATCAAACATGCCCCTCTATTATTTTTTTACATTAAACATGCTCTTTTACTTTGGAAAAATTATCAAACATGCATTTTTATTAAAATTCCAATCCAAAGACCGTCAACCATGTCGAACCTTGGTTTGGACAACACCAATGTCTAAAATATCACTAATAATTTCACTTAAATATTTTTTATTATTTTTTTTTTGTATAGCCCAAAACCCCTAATTAGGGCTCGCGATAAATAAGATAAAATCGGGAATACCCTCATATCTCATACTACTCTTTCGATACATAATTTAATATTTAAAATGATTTCACTTCAATTAGACTTAGAGAAATAAATGAAGGGGCAAATCTAACATTTTCTCTTTCATTTGCCGAGGTTAGGTCGTTCGAACAACGGTTTGATCTTCTTCTTTTTTTACAGAAGGTAATCATGTATTGATTCAAAAAATAGACAATTACATTCTGGTGTTCAGCCAGGTCCAGAAATCAAATAAACGACTCATAGTCGGGTACAGAGAAATAGCCTTTCTAGCCACCACATGGGCTACCCTATTACTACGCCGACCTACAAATCGAACACTAAACCCAGAGTGGATGGCAAAATAATGCACGATTTCATCAAGAATAGCCCCATCCGGTTATCTCTGGTATCAGCCCGATTGATCTTCTCAATAATTACTTTAGCATCTCCTTCGACCTCATTTTCGTGAAGCCGTGGCCCAGACACCATAAAATAGCCTCCCGGAGCACGAGCAATTCGACCACCATAGGGTCATCAATCAACGAAAATTGAATCCCATTAGCCATAAGGACTTCCCTAACTGGGTTCATAACAACCATTGCGCCTGCCGAATGAGAACCGCTCCTCGTAGCCTCATCTCACATACAAACAACCATATTAGTCCCCCCAGAACCCAAGTGTTGTACCAAAGGGATGGGAGACTGAGGTGCTCGATCCACTGGCAAACTTACCCACTCCTCATATTGCTAGTGAAACTGGCGCATCAAGACAAGTAAACCAAACTATTTTCCCTAAAAAACAACCCAGTTACGAGACCACCAGATTCTACAAAGGATGGCAACAACCGTCATGAACAGAGAAGGTTGATGTATTAATGAGATCAACTTTTTTAGAAAGAGAGGGAAGGTGTGACGAGGCAAACCTTGCCCAAGATACTCCGGACCTAAATAGTCCCAAAGGGCACGCGCCACCGGACAATATAGAAACAAGTGCATCATTGTTTCCGAATCAACCCAACAAACCGGGCATCTGGGAAGCACGGGGAGATCCTTCTCGATTAGGGCTTCAGTAGTTGGCAGGATTCGGTTAAAGATTTTCCAGACAAACACTTTCAATTTGGGCAGAATATTAGCTCCCACAAACGAATTCAACTGGTCTTATCCATCCAACTAACCATTGACCGACAGCGACCACTTTGCTTATCAAGTAAGACAGCAAAATGATAGGCCAATTTAACCGCGAACGCCCGTCAACCGTATCATGCCAGATCAGTCTATCATTCATATTCTAACGAGTAAGAGAAATAGTTTTGATAACACTGCAAGTCGGTGGGTCAAATCACTGGCTTAGTTTTAAGTCACACCAACGCATTTTTCTATGATAGATAACCTTCGCTACTAACGAAACACCCTCCGATAACACCTGGGGATTATATAGTGGGGGACAGGATGTAACCCCCTCCGCTAGTAGCGGATACCGTCTTTCACCGCCACTCTCCCGACGATCCTCCCTCCGCCCACAATCTTCTCTTATAATAAACTCTCGCTCCTTTTCTTTCCTCCGCCAACCCAACCGCCGTCCTACTTCCTCTGGTCAACCCCTAACCTCACCGATGGCCACCTCTGCTGCTAGAGACGACGACGACTCCACTGTCGCTTTCCCTCTCTCTGCCCCCAGTGTCTTGAAGATCAATAAAGGAGACATCACCAAGTGGTTCGTCGATGCTTCCTCCGATGCCATTGTAAGTAACCCTCAGTTCCCTTTCCGCCCTTTTGTCTCTTTCTTTCAAAATGATCTCGTGGGTTCAATTCCTTAATGATGAGTTTTGATGCTTCAAAGTAGTAGTCTTCGTTTTTCTTTTCCTGGCTATGGGGTTTATACAGCTTTGGAGTCAGTGGGATGAGTCGTTAATCTGTGGCTTTTGTTCTATCAGGTTAACCCTGCAAATGAGAGAATGCTTGGAGGCGGTGGTGCAGATGGAGGTAACTTTGACCTGATATGCCGATGAAACTCCTTGATGATTGTAGTTTTGGTCTAACATTTTCAGCGAGTATTCAATCTGGTTTGAGTGGTGGATCTTGTTAGCTATTCATAGAGTTGCTGGACCAGAACTGCGTGAAGCTTGCTTTAAGGTCCCTGAAGTAAGGCCTGGTATCCGCTGTCCAACAGGAGAAGCAAGGATTACCCCGTATGCTCTTGCTTTGGTGCTTTAAAGTAAACCCCTAGTTTTATCACACATCTAATCTCTCACCCATTGTACTGTCTTCTCTTTTCTCCCTTTTCCTATGGCTTTGTTGAAAATGTCTCCAGAGGCTTCAAATTGCCAGCATCCCATGTCATTCACACAGTAGGCCCTATCTATGACACCGATAACAACCCTAAAGCCTCCCTGACGAGCGCATATAGGTAACAGTTGCAGAGCATCCGTTGTATGGGGTTGACGTCACTTCAAAGCTTATGTTCTAATTAAGGATGCTGAATTCAGTTTCCTGATACATGGGTTGCAGGAACAGTTTGATTGTTGCCAAAGATAATAACATTAAGTACGTTGCGTTCCCAGCAATATCTTGTGGTGTCTACGGGTAAGATTGGCCCTCTTCGATACACATTTGCCTGCCTTACCTTGTTCTTCATGTTCCTGGATGAGATATAGAAATTTGATGAATGACAAAGTTTGGTTTGTCCTTGAGTTTCTACACTGATGAGGAACCAGCTCTGCTAGGAATTGATTAGAGCCATGACAAGTACGAAATTAGTGGATTTGGGTGTTGTTATGAGGCTGGCGGTCCTGCTTGTGATGAGTATTGGACTTCTGAAAAGACTCTTCACTCTTCGTTTCATAATTGTTTCAGGTATCTTTTTGAAGAAGCTGCTGATGTGGCTATATCTACGATCAAGGAATTTCCAAATGACTTCAAAGAGGTATCAAAATTCTACTTTGTTTCGTTTTGGGTCCGATGAGCCCTATAGTTCATTATCATCATTCATCAACCTTGTTGTCTCTGAAATTTTTCAAGTCATTGCATTTGTATGCAAGCACATAGAACGCCTGTTGCTAAGCATATACAGCAAACATTGACAACAAAACTGAGCTATTCTACGAACTCATTTGGAGTTTGTCTCAATTCTGCAGGTGCATTTTATCTTGTTCTCGGATGACATCTACGCTGTTTGGGTGAAGAAGGCAAAGGAATTGCTCCAAGGATAATAAGTGTGCAAAGATGTGCTAGTTGTTTAGACATCCTCTTTGAAGTTCTCGCATCCTATCAGTAGTAATAGACAGTGCAGAATGTGGAAATTCGAGGGTAGTTATCATAAATGCTCACAAACCTATTCATTTTGTACAAAACGGTCACAATCCTTTAATTTTGCACGTTTCGGTAATAAAAGTTTGAGCAAATAACAAAATAGTAAATCCGTCCGATTCCGTCCAAAACTCCGTCCCTAATCGCCCCGTCAGCATGACACGTCGGTGTAAATAATAATAAAAAATGACTAATCAAACCCACATAACCAGACTCTCCAACCGGCCAGATTAAAACCTTTACCCATCCGGTCCCGAATTGAACTATTACCCCAAATCGAGATTCTCTTGCCATCGGCTACTTCCGCAGCTGCTCCTCCGTCTCCTCCATCGCCGCCGATGGCTTCTAGAGCACCGTCGTAGTCTCTTGCTTTGGCCTCGGCTTCGAGAGTATGCTCGAACCGCTGCTGCCTGGCGGATCGGGATCGACCCGATGAGGAGCCGCAAAGCACCATCAGACGGAGGAGGTGGCCGACGGTGCTGTCTTCGGAAAGCATCAGGATCGGAATCCGATTCCGACTCGTTCGGTAGCGGCGGTGGAGCAGGACGACACCCAGAGATGTTGCTTCCTCTAGCGGCGAGCGTGGCGGTTTTGCCCCATTTCAGCAAGACAGGGAAGTTGTGGAGCGACTTCGGCTGTGGTTTCACCAGTGCCGTCGCCATTGAAGAGAAAACGAAACCTTCCTACAGATTCATAAGCCGATATACACTCGTTGTGTCCGTACCAAAAAGGCTCTCTACAATCTGGCGATGTAAGCGAACTGATTATGAACAGATGATCGGAAGATGGAGTAGAAGGAGAAGCCCTAGGGGGAGAGAAGGAGACGACCCCACGATGGTGGACGGCGGAGGATTTAATCTGGCCGGTTGGATAGTCTGGTTATGTGGGTTTGATTAGTCATTTTTTTATTATTATTTACACCGACGTGTCATGCTGACAGGGCGATTAGGGACGGAGTTTTGGACGGAATTGGACGGATTTACTATTTTGTTATTTGCTCAAACTTTTATTACCGAAACGTGCAAAATTAAAGGATTGTGACCGTTTTGTACAAAGTGAATAGGTTTGTGACCATTTATGATAACTATCCGGAAATTCGATGAAGCTGATTTGCATTGATGTGACGAAGGATGTTCCGTGATTTCAGGGGTTTGGGTGCGTTGGTGTTTTTGCCGACTCTTGTACGTTAATGACCTATTTTATGTAACCCTAGTCTTATAATACAAGTTTGCATGTTTGATCAACTAAGATACTCGGCGAATTATAAACTAAGGTATTGGCATATAAGCAATTAAGTTCGTATAGATAATTGTTTGTTGAGCTATTGAAATGTGAATTGTTACTAACACCACAATAACTCTATAAAATAGAAACAAAACTATGGCTCTTTGATGACATGCAACTCTCAAAACACAGGCATACATGGCGCAATCAGTAAAGGGGGGAAAAAACACCTTTTATATAAAATTTTGCAACTTGCTTAATCAAATTTTCGATCTCATGCCAAAATCAATAGTACCGGCATGGGGAACAATCTAGTTCAATTTTGGTTCATTTGTACAAAAGCAATTCCTCCAAAACCAGCTACAATGCCCTTGACAACCAGAAGACAACAAGCATTCACCAATATATGTATGTACATGCCGTACCAGTCAGGTATCTTTGTCCTTGGATGACAATCCCTGAGGGATTCGACTAATCACACTCTCATCCACTATCTTAAACCTCTTATGGATCATCCCGAAATATCTATCCACTCGCTCTTCGTTCTTGCTATACAATGCTGGAACTGTAATTGACAACACTGTTCCTGTGACCGACATCATTCATTAGACAACATGTTACTCATCAAATTTGAAGTTTCGCATTCTGTAAAGAAATTTCCTTGCAGCAACTTGCTATAGAAATGCTTAGTTGGATCAGAAAGCCGCGACGAAAACTCACCTATATAGGCTAAAGTGAAGAAAGAGAAGTAGCTACCAATCGCAGATAAGAGCCACAAAGAGACAACCACCTGCACAAGTAGATGAGAAGATGAAGTGAGACCTGACTTCTGAAATCAGCCAGTCAAGCAACATCAGTTTCACACATGCAAAAGTCTCGGATATTGTTTTTAAATGATGCAATACCGACCTTAAAGAAGAGTCTAAAATCTTTGCCAAGGGTGATTTCATGAGCCATGAGAAGCATGTTGTTAATTTTAACTCGAAAAGACGCTGCAACACTGTTGACCATTTCCTCCGACAAAACTAGTTCAGGTAATGCCTGCGGTTGTCTGCTCAAAACAGAAACCATAGAAGGGTTGTCATTGATAAGCTGGTTTTTCACCATCACAATATAAGTGGAAGAAAAATGTAAAACATCCAAAGGTAAGGGATAGAGGTTTTTACTTGTTTCTCATAGCAGCATAGTTGGAATGGGCAAACAACATAACTATCAGAATCAACATGATATCTGAGCTAACTGTTAAGAATGGTAATCCAGAGCGTTCAAATAAGAACCACCCCAATGTCACCACAACAACAACACCAAAGGAAATGTGCCGTCGCTTCCACAAGAGTACATCAGCAGCTATATAAAATGAGAGAAACGTTATACAAAACACTAGCAATAAACACAAAGACTGCAGAGGTGATGTTGAAAGCAACACACCAAACTTCCTTTGACATGCAAGAAATGGGTAGCATAAATGATATTAAATAATTTAGTATTGGATATATCATTCATTATACATCAACAACATGCATGGAAAGAATACAAACTTGTGTGTTGTCAAGTATTCAAATACGAGCATATGGTCCTTGATTGTGTTCTTCAGTAGAGCAAAAGTGTATGCAAGACTAGCAGATACATCAAGGGACAATGGAAGGACTCTATACTGTCTTCTTATCATGTCAAACAATAAACATTGCCAAAAGTATCAAGAGCCAAGAGGAGCTGATAAACTATGGGACTGAATGAACTGAAATCAAAAGGTTTGGCTCTCAACAAGTACAAGAGACTAAATCCCAATAGTTAAAACATCAGCATCAGACTATCATAAACATCCTATCTCACTCCTTGTTCGCTCAATTCTCTAGCACATAAAACCATGAACTTTCTTGTATAACAAGAGAGGGAAGAACTCTATGTGTTATTCCACTCGCAGCACATTATCCAATTCCACTGGCAAAACAGAAGGAGCCTCTCATTATACAACAATCACAACTAGAAGATGAACCGGCTTTTGGCTCCAAATCAAGAAGATATTCCATTCTGACAAATTACGGATTACATCGAACTAGCTGCGTAATTCAGCAAAAATAACCTTTCAGGTTTACGTTTTCAGTGTTTTACCTCTTCCACCGCCCATGAACTGGTGCAGAGGGACCTGCCGGCCGAACAATCGATACCCAGAAGAAGTGGAAGCTGGGATGCCATTTCCCATCTCAGTGCCACCACCATCCATCGTCCTTTCCGTATCTCTGGAATTATCCGCCATGTTTCCTGTTTAAAAATTCTTCGCCGCAGGACATCGAACCCAATCGGCCAATTCCCTAACGAAAGAAAGAAGTCGAGAAGAGAAAGGAAGGACGAAAGGATTCTGTAATTAGGAGACAAGCCCTCAAAAATTCATCTTTTAGCAAGTTTGTTTTATCTGGATTCTGGGTTTATTTTACTCTTTTCTAGATTTTGGATGTTTCAAAGAGACGCCATTGTTGGAAGAAAAAGGTCAGACGGCAAAGCCGACGTAAAGAGTGAATGTTTTAGGACCGGTTAATTGCATGGTTAGTCACTGAAATAGTGAAATTGAAATTACAAAAAATTCGTTTGGACTTTGGACACTAAAAATATTTAATTCCGTTCGTGATTACTAACTTTATATTTTCGTTTTATCATTGGTCACTCTCCGTCCAACTCCGTTAAGTTTGTCCTACGTGGCAGTCAACTCTATTAGTTGATTGTTAAATTAGTGATGGTAAATAAAAAATAAAAATTTTTTATAATTTCCACCTCATTTTCACACTAATAATCTCTCATAGGCTGCGGTAACTTCACATACTCCACCGTCAAATAGAGATCTTACCATAGTTGACCTTAGTAGTTCTTACCATTCGCATCGTCGTTGTCTACGATCACGATCTCCACCTCCCTGGACACCTTGACCGCGACAATAGTCTCGAACTCGCAGTGGACCAGCTCCAACTTCTCCAGATTCGGCATGGGCTCGAAAGGCTTGTGAATGTAGCACTCCAGATCGGAATACAACGCCACGGTTCAGGTCGAGGTGGGGATCACGCAGGGGCGGAGGCGGAGAAAGGTTAGGTTGGGAAATTCGAGGCCTCAGCGATAAGTTTGTGGAGGTCGAATTTGGCGAAGATTTCGAGGTTTTGACGGTGGCACAGAGGGTGGTGAATTTTGGGGGGGGGGGGAGAATTAATTGCGATGGTTAGGGTTAGGTCAGCGAACTAAAAGGTTCGGGTGCGGTGGGTTGAGCCGTAGGAGTGGATCTGGTCGAAGAGATCAGTTAATTTGGGGTCGGTGGGGTCGTCGGCGGCGAGGGAGAGGTTGGAGAGGTCGGCGGAATCAGGGTCGCGGAGGGTGAGGATGTTCTCGACGAAGAGGCTAAAGCGGTTGGCATCGGCCAGAGGGGAGGAGGTTTGGAAGTGGAGGGAAGTGAGGATTGATTTCCAGGCGGTGCGCCAGCGGGTGGAGAGCATGGTGGTTTGGACGGCGACTCGGGTGTCGAGGACTGCGGAGATGAGGATCCGGCATAAGAGTTTGTCTGGAAGGGAGCCTAGGCGGTCTCCGGCAACACAGGTGAGAAATGGTGGTATTTTTAGGGGAGAGAAAGGTTAGGTTGGGAAATTCGAGGCCTCGGCGATAAGTTTGTGGAGGTCGAATTTGGCGGAGATTTCGAGATGTTTGATGGTGGCACAGAGGGTGGTGAATTTTGGGGGGGGGGGAGGATTAATTGAGATGGTTAGCGTTAGGTCAGCGAACTGAAAGGTTCGGGTGCGGTGGGTTGAGCCGTAGGAATAGATCCAGTCGAAGAGATCGGTTAATTTGGGGTCGGTGGGGTCGTGGGCGGCGAGGGAGAGGGTGGAGAGGTTGGCGGAATCAGGGTCGTGGAGGGTGAGGATGTTCTCGACAAAGAGGCTGAAGCGGTTGGCAGCGACGGAGGCGGAGAAAGGTTAGGTTGGGAAATTCGAGGCCTCAGCGATAAGTTTGTGGAGGTCGAATTTGGCGGAGATTTCGAGGTGTTTGACGGTGGCACAGAGGGTGGTGAATTTTGGGGGGGGGGGTGGGAGGATTAATTGTGATGGTTAGGGTTAGGTCAGCGAACTGAAAGGTTCGGGTGCAGTGGGTTGAGCCGTAGGAGTAGATCCGGTCAAAGAGATCGGTTAATTTGGGGTCGGTGGGGTCGTGGGCGGCGAGGGAGAGGGTGGAGAGGTCGGCGGAATCAGGGTTGCGGAGGGTGAGGATGTTCTCGACGAAGAGGCTGAAGCGGTTGGCATCGGCCAGAGGGGAGGAGGTTTGGAAGTGGAGGGAAGTGATGATTGATTTCCAGGCGGTGCGCCAGTGGGTGGAGAGCATGGTGGTTTGGACGGCGACTTGGGTGTCGAGGACTGCGGAGATGAGGATCCGACAGAAGAGTTTGTCTGGAAGGGAGCCTAGGCGGTCTCCGGCAACACAGGTGAGAAATGGTGGTATTTTTAGGGGAGATGGCTAACGTTGGGGCGGTGGTGGATCCAACATCCATGAATTGTTTTTTTAGGAGAGATTATTATATTAAAAATAATTATTTTTTAGGAGTTGTGAAAATGAGGTGGAAATTATTAAAAAAAAAATATTTACCACATCACTTATTTAACAGTCAACTAATAGAGTTGGCTACCACGTTGGACAAACATAACGGAGTTTGACAGAGAGTGACCAATGATGAAACAAAAATGTAAAGTTAGTGACCACGAACGGAATTAAATATTTCTAGTGACCAAACATGAACGTTTTTTGTAATTTCAGTGACCAGCCATGCAATTAACCCGTTTTAGGACTGAATTAGTCTATTAGTGTAAAGGTTGGGTCAAATTAGGTATTAACTCGAATTTTAAAGATACACGTGGGCTGAATCGCTACTCTTTTCATCAATTTAAGAAACGAATCGCTGCTGAACAAAGGGATCAAAGATGATTGCGACAATTGGAACTGATTAATTATTTCATCGCTTGAGACACTCAAATTATAGTGTTTATCGCTTCAATATTTGATACATTTTCTCCTTCAATCATGACCTAGGGTATTTTTTTGTATCATGTATGTCTTTATGGTATTCTTTTGTACTTTTCAAGATAAAAATCATGACTACATTATCAATGTGCTTATAATGGACCTACCTAGGGTATGTTTTTGTATCATGTATGTCCTTTTTTGTATTCTTTTGTACTTTTCAAGGTCAAGCACATTATAGAATGACTTGAATCATCAATTGAATGAACTTGGAGGATCATGAAGGACAATTACTAGAATATCAATGTAATTCGTCCATTAAATGAAGTAAATTGGAGGGAAAACCTTCATGAAATCGTCATAAAATGCCAAGAGGAGTTCACTAGAGAAATTTTATCTCAAACCTGCACAATAACTCAGCGGCCTCGTGATGAGGCCCATCGCCGCTAGGCCAAAAACATCAAGTCGTCCTGGAATTCATAGGAGAGGTTATTTGTGGGCCAACAAAGCTAACACCGGAGGAAAACCTATGATGGCCCCGATAGCCGTGGCCCAACTCCAAGCCCAAGGAATCTTCTAGAATATGCTTTGCTCCATCCTCAACTTAAGTAATCCGAGTCCTAATGGTATCTGGAAGCCTTTGGCCGCGTTTTAGGAGGAAAATACCTATAAACGTCATCTTCCTTCCACTATAAATAGAGGCTCATGTTAAGGGATTCGGTAGGATGCAAACATTGACTAATATCACTCTATATAACTCACGCAAGGAGCCACTCGACTCCAGGAAGGCCAAATTAGCATTCATATGAGGGTGCAACTAAGGAGATGACTTCATTATTGATGGAGGTACCATCCTTCTCAATAATGTATTGTTTGTTCAAATTTGTTGTTGAGGATGGGAATTCTATTTATGCTTATACCATCTTCTTTCTATGATATAATGAGATGCTTTGATTAATATTTATCTTTGTCATTTGATGCTTATACTATTAGATGCCATAGTCGATGCTTTTACCATTAAATGTCTTATTCAAGCCTAATTATACATATTTTACCCATCATTTATTGGTTATTTGACATGGTGTTTAGCGTTCCCTGACCTATATTATGCTATGTTTTGCTTTGTTTGTCATATTTCATGTCCTATGACGTAAATATGACCAATGAATGCATTTTGGGATAAATGGAGGCAAAAAAGACATTAAAAGGATTAAGAGGGCTTCCAACACTATCATGATCTCTCAATAGCTCTATCCACCTTCTTTGCCTCATATTCAACTCCTTCTGATCGATCAAGTGCTGGAGACTCTTGTGATCGGTGGAGATGGTGAAAGTCTCGTCGTAGAGGTAGGGTCTCCATACCTTCAAGGCAAACACCATGTTGTCAGCTGCATGTCATGGGTAGGGTAGTTCATCTCATGAGGTCGTAGTTGCCTTGATACATAGGTTATCACCTTCTTATCTTGCATCAGTACACGACCCAACCCTTGGTAGGAAGCATCCCTATATATGGAATAGTATCCACCCGCTGGTTGGTAGTGCTAACACTGGTGTAGATGTGAACTTCTCCTTCAATAACTCAAATGCAGCTTGACACTTCTCGTCTCATACAAATGCCTTTCCCCTTCTTCAATAACTGTGCCATGGGTCTTGGAATACTGGAAAAGCCTTCCACAAACCTCTGGTAGTACCTAGCTAAGCCCAAAAAACTCCGTACTTCAGAAACATTCTTCGTGGAGCCTAGTTTGTCCCAACTTCTATCTTCTTGGAGTCCGCCTCTACTCCAAAACCGGAGATCATAAGCCCCTTCCAACTTGGCATACAACTCTTCCTCTTTCAGTCTTTGCAGTATCACCCTCAAATGCCCTTCCTGCTTCTTCTCACTCTTAGAGTAGATGACCAATACGCATAGTGACCATACCGTGTGTTGAATGTCGTCTTATGTATTGAACCATCGGCCAGCCTCAATTGATGGTATCTAGACCTCAGTTCGATCTTCAAGAACACCCTTTTGCTCCTTGCAACTGGTCAAAGAGATCGTCTATCCTTGAGAGAGGATAACGATTCTTGATAGTTACCTTATTTAGCCTCCTATAGTCGATGCGCAGTCTCATACTACCATCCTTCTTCTTTACAAATAACACTGGTTGTAACACCTTAGGCAAATCCCACATTGACAAAGCACAGGAGAGATCCATGGTTCATAAGTAAGAAATCAACCTTAACTGGCAAGACGCGTTTTGGGGTGAAATGAAGGAGTTCTTGTGAGAACTTCAAAGTTAAACATGCTCAGTGTGGAGTACAACAAGGATGGGTAACCTTATGGGAAGTCACCTTGAATTGCACCCCAAGTCGAAATTCGTGAGGGTCGAGGATCAAAGCGGACAATATCTTGCTGTGAAAAAGGTTCAGTATGTTACACTAATGCTCCCCATGGTTATATGCTAGAGCAAATAAAATCCTTCTCCAACTGCTCCTTCAACTCTGCTGGTGCCATGCGGTATGGAGGAATGGATATTGGTGTCATACCAGGAACCACTTGAATATCAAACTCCAACTCCAGTTGTGGCGGTTTCCCATGAAGATCTTCGAGAAATACCTTGTGGTATTCCCTTACGATTGACACATATTCTATTCTCTTCACTTGCACCTCCTTGACATGATCCAAGTAGGCCTCACACCCTTCTTAGATCAATGAGAAAGCATTTACTATGGGGTCATTTGGATCCAGGTTTTAAATTTGTGGGATTTTGGCTCAAATCACTGGTTTAAAAACCCAGGTTTTTAATTTGTGGAATTTGTGTGGAATTTTAGGCAAATCACACGTTTGGAAACATATGTGGCATTTATAAAATGAGAATGCAAGATTACATAATTAACCTTCCCTATTTATTTGTACAAGGGCCCAAATTTGGTCGTTCACTGCTGCTATTTCTTTTCCTCGACCACTGCTAGGGTTTCTTCCACCATTGTCGATCCTTTCCTTCGCTGCGCTCTGGAGGACAGCAGCTGCCGTCGTTCGTTGATCACAACATCATCGTCGGTAGGGCGCCGTTCTTCATCCGCCATCTCCAAAGCCAACATGCATCCACCACTATGTGACTGTCCTTTGGAAGCCGTGTTGGAGTTATCTCACTCAGCCAGGAACCCAAATAGAGAATTTTACTCGTGTCCGCTGAAGAAAATAAAGGTAAACGTCGTAATCCCTCTGAATCCAACGGAATCACGTTTTAGTTAGTTCAATTTAGGGTTGCTATTTCAAATGGGGTCCTGGGATCGAGTAAATTGTAGGCTAGTGGTGGTGGTTGAAACAATTGTGAGCAAGATGTTGAATTCTTCCATTGTAACTTGATGAATTGGTTTGCAGGGGAAGAAAGAATGTGGCTATTTCAAATGGTTTGATGTACATGCTTTGGAAGTCCGTGAACGGAACCTTGTTAGGGAAGTTGCCAATTTGCGTATGAAACTTGCCGATGTAGAAGAAGAGAACAAGCAACTCCGGCTGCAGTTACGGCGTTGTGAAGTTGCTGACCAGCCTTGTTCGTCCAACATTACTAGAACGAGTGATTCAACTGAAACAAGTCTGTTGGAAGCAATTTCGCAGCTGAGTCACATAATGTCTCGCGTTGAAGGGACACTTGGGTTGAGATAGGTTATTCAGAATGTAATCCTATTTGATCGTGGTTGTTGTGTTAGGATGGTTCTGTTTGTGTGAGTATGTTATGTTAGGATTGCTTGGTTGTTGTGTTAGGATGGTTCTGGGGAATGTAAGCTTATTTGCTCACAGCATGTTGTGTGCGCCTGTTGTAATAGGATTGATTGTGTAAGGATTGAAGCTATTGAAACATGAATGAAATATGCAGAGTTTGTTGAAGCTAGAATGTAACCGCAGACTAATTGAAAACATATACAGTATGTTCTGCAGAATGTGATTGCGGACTGGTTGAAATCATAAAATTGCAGACTAAGATTACATGATTCAACATCAACATATTCTGCATATGTTTTGACAGTATGCATGTGTGCATAGTGTTTATGTTGAGCTACACAAAATGGCTGGTTATATCTTGCTACAACACTGGGATAGAAGTGTCAAAATAAGAATGCAAGAGTAGCTTCCAGCTGGTCTAACAAAATGGCTGCTTTTATCTTGCTGCAGACAAACTGAAATCATTTCCAGTTGCAGAGTTAGAACATAAAACATCAAATGCAACATAATGTTTTGACAGTAAAACTTCAAGCTAAGAAAAACATTCTGAAATGCATAAAAGAAGAGTAAGTAATCCCCAAAAAAGGCTCCATGTCTGAGCCGGGATCACAACAGCCCCTACTAATCCCTAAAAAACACCATGTTCGAGTTTATATCACAAAGACCAAGGGCTAATAATCCCCAAAAAAGCTTGCATACAAGCTGGGATTACTAACTCTTCTCCTTACATTCAACCAATCAACCTTTTCACGAACATCAGCTTGTCCAAAACGTTTTGTATCTTGTAGAACATCATCAAGTGTTGATCATTCATCGATAAGACTGTCACTGCTGCAATGATCTCCTCATCTCGGTCCAGCTCCCCAAGCTGCTCCAAGCTCTCAAAGAGATTATCTCCCATGCTGATGTGATCATCACTCTCTCCAAGTGCTCTTGCAAGTGTATCCATAGATTGTTTAATCAAAGGGCGAAGATCTCTCATTTTTCCTATCGCATCGGTGAGGCGTTCTTCAACAGTCACTCCTTTTTTCTTTTTCTTCTTCGGTGGAGCACCATCTGTTGAAGCTGGCATGCTTGCAGGCTGTCTTTTTTCATAAGCTAACTCCGCATTGATTTCCTCAAAAATCCTCTCATTTGCATCTATGTCAGCAATATTTGTTATTTCCTCGTCTTCTCCTGATGTTCCATCTAAGCAGATTGGATCATTGGTGTCAACCCCATGATCCCCACTTGCACGACCTTTGCAGAAGACCAGTGTCAGAGCATCATAAACCATGAATGGTTTCTTGTTCAGACCTTCACAGTTGGGTGTTTCTGCAAGTAATTACCAACCATTAGCTTCACAATTCTTATTTTTTTTCCATGAAACCAGTAAACTACCCAAAGTAAATATATATATATATACGAAGTCTTACCAGCTCAAAGTCAGCCCAACGTTCATCTGGACAAATGACACTGATTAATCTCATCTCAGCCCCATCCACTCTGGTTTCTCATGAATGTCATTGCATGCCAAATCTTCTTCCATTTTTTAATCCTACCTTCTACATGAGGCTTGGCTTTCACTCCACAGCCCGGGACCTTAGCTTCCATCATTCTCGCAAGCAGACCATACACACCGTTCTTACAAATGCCATCCACTATCAGTCCCTTCTCGAAGCACTCTAAAATACAATATGCAAATGGCTTATCGAAATGCTCAGGCCAAGAGAAGTACTTTGTGGAGGAAGCACTATTACCTTCTCTGTCGTTCAACTTCTTTCTTTTCACCATATCTATAAAATAGAGATCAAACATTAGTAGGGACAATAGATTCATCTGCCAAAAGAATAAATCCACTTCTGCCCAAAAGAACACCCAACAACAAAAATAAAAGCAACTAACATATATTTATCTGCCAACAGATTACACAACTCTGGAACAAACAACAATTTAACAAACTACATATTACTTAACTCATAACAAGATAAACAAACAATAGCCAACCACTTAATTGTCTACACATTACATAAATCATAACAATTAAACAGCAGAAGAGACTCATGAAGCAGTTCTGAAACGTGCAGGCCGAGCATTCCAAATTTCAGAGGCCAAGTCCATCCTAAACTTAGACCAAGCTTCGGTCGGTTGAGTGCCCGAGTTTGCAACTGTATCAACCCCGAAAGATTCATGCTGGTAATGTTCGTGTGGCTGGTCTCTATAGGTTCTTTCATACATATCAGCTCCTTCCTCCTTCTTTATGAAATTGTGTAAAATACAGCATGCTAGAACAATTCGAGAAATCACAGGCACTGAGAACCAATTGACATCCCTCAAAATTCCTCATCGCATTTTCATAATTCCAAAAATCCTCTCTATCACGTTCCTAGCCTGAGCATGTCTCCCATTGTAGTACTCTTTCATGTTTTTTAGCAGCTGCCCCCCCCCCCATTCATCAATATGGTATCTTGGCCCCCGAATAGGGGTCAAGAACCCAGGGCTGTTGCCATACCCTGAGTCACATAAGTAATATCACCCTATATGTAAAAAAAAAAAATCAGAATTAGCATTTCCTACATATGTGAGAATACTTAATCTATATGCCATGTAGGTTTTTGTTTTTGAAACTATTACCTTCTGGCACAACTAGGCCATTCGGCCTGTTTAATGCATCTCTCAACACCCTCGCATCATGAGCTGACCCTTCCCATCCAGCTAAACAATATATGAACTCTAACTTTGGGGTACAAACACCCAAACAATTAATGGAGAGATGACCAGACCGATCTCGATACTTAGTTCGCTCTTCCTTCAAGGGTCGAACGTTAATGTGAGTTCCGTCAAGATCTCCCAAACAATTCTAAGACAAAGAAGCAAATAATTAAGCTAAACAATACTGCAAATGCTTGTAATATTTTCTTAATGAAAGTCAAAGTGTCTGACCTTGAAGTATTTCCATCTGTTATCGGTTGAATCAGCGCGAATGGGTTCGAGTTTCTTCATAAGCTGGTTGTTGAGTCTTAGAATTGCCCGTAAGACTCGGTGAAACAACCTATAAATCGTCTCAGAAGAGCGGCGAAAATCCACTGCTAAACTAAGCATTTTGTTGTTATGTGATATAGCCAATAGAAAGATGAGAACCATTTCATCTACTTCAGCGTTTCGGGTCCTTTTCAACCCACCATCCGAAACTAAAAGGTCACATAGCTTCTTGAATAAACTACGTTTCATCCTAATCTTCCTGTGACTCTCGGCATCACTGAATTTGGTACATTTGTCAATCACCATTTGCCTATCGTACTGACGCATCATGTAACTATCTAAGGGCTGCCTACCAATTATGGGATTACGAATTAGCATCTATGTAAGTTCCATCACCTCCATTCCTAAATTGACATAAATTATTACAAGGTTCCAAAATGCACTAATAGCAACAATCACTTTGCGCCTTTCCGTGGCAGACATCGTGGAAAGCCGGGACATCCTTTATCAAAAATTGAAATTGAATTAAAACACGGCAACTACTATACTGCAAACATCGTGGCCAAGAACAACAACATACTAACAACAACTAAGCTTTGGGGCTTGCCCGCCATATGTAGTAGCACACATACAATCAAGCAAACTAACAAACAATAAAGTAAGCACAACACAAAAGCACAGAGAAGGAAGATATAATGGCGGCATTGGAATGGTAAATGGAAACAAACAACAACAAAATAATTCAAAGAAGAGAAAGAGTAAATGGAATGGTTTATTTGTTCGGTCAAATTATTTGGCTCATTGTAGGTTTGGATGAATTAATGGTATGGTCAGCAAGACAGCAACCGAGCACAAATTGCAGAGCATGCTTTGTTTGCCCATCTGGCCAAATAGAACTGATGGGAGAAGAAGCCACAAACCAACAGTACAAACATGGCTCCGTCCCAACCTGGCTCCGACGAGGAATGATGTTCTACGCAGGTAACCCACAAAGCAACAATACAAACAGAATGGAGAAGAAGCCGACAGCACGCAAAAACCCAAGAACAGAATCCTAAATATCCAGATTGTAACCCGAAGAAGAGCAACTAACCTGAAAAGACTTGACCTAGCAGGCCCAACGCCTCTGCTACTCGACCGTCGGACTGCTGCTTCGTTGTTGCCGATGTGGTCGCTTCATATGCCCACATGCTCGTTGAACTTCCTTTCTTCTGTTGAGAGTGACGACAGGCAAATGGGTTGATGGATAGGTTAATAGAATGAGGAGGGTAAAATAGGATTAACACAAAAAGAGCATGGGCATTTATTGCATTTATGGAACAAAATGCCCAAATACATAATCCCACAATTGTGGGTTTCGGAAATCTCTAATATTTAAAATCTCTTATCATATAATTGCTTTCCAAATGAGTGATTTTAATTAAAATCCCACACTATGTGGGATTGTGCCCAAATCCCACACCCAAAACCTGCATCCAAATGACCCCTATAGAAATTAAGCCTCCCGACATAAGCTTCCTGGTCCCCTTGAATAATGTCATGCCTTAGCCCTCGATTTCAAGACGAACATCCTTCTTCTAACAGTCCACCTTCGCTCAGTTTTTGGACAATCAATCCATACCCAGTATGACGTCAAACTCGTCGAAGAGTAGTAGGGTTAGACTTGCTTCAAAATCATAACTAGCCACTGTGATAAAGCAGTCCCAGATAACATAGTTTATTCCAGCTAGATTACACACTTTTATACCCCTTGCGTTGCATCGTTTGTCTTGGTTTGCACCATCCTTAGAGATATTTTATGCTAGGTTTGTTCTTGTTGTGTCATGTTTCATACCTAAGCAAGTAATCTTGGCACCGGGATAGAAAGTCGAACAAAAGAGGGTGAAAAGGGAGCAAATGATCGAAAGTGCAAGCATCATGGTTGCGGAGCAATTATCACGGGCGCGGACCTTGAAGTGGACAAGCAAACCGTGAAGTCTGCACACTTCCAGGAGGATTCACGCAGATCGCGGGCATTGTCAAGATCATGGCCTTTAAACCGCGAAGTCAACAAGTCATGAAGTTCGTAAGTGAAACGTGTTTTGCACCGAGATCACGGTTTCACTGTCGACTTCACGGGCGTGATATGAGACCGTGATTTGGACACTCAAGAACTACATAAAGGAGAGTGAGATGATTTTGAAAGGAGAGAGTTCTAGAGAGAGATTGGAGGCTTCCTCTCTTTAAGGCTTAGAGAGAGAGAGAGAGAGAGAGAGAGAGAGAGAGAGAGAGAGCTATGAGCTAAGAATGAAGGAAGGAGAATTTGGCCTGCCCAAGGCTAGAGGAAGAAAGATTTCTTCTCCAATGATTGAATCAAGCATCTAAGAAGAGGGAGAATAACTTTGCTATGGGTTTTCCCTCTATCTTATTTGTATTTTCTCTTCTAACTAAGAATGACAACGGGCATGTTCAGGGCGGATATTGCTAAATCTGTGCCCTGCTATGCTCTTGAATTCCTGACCCGATCTGCCCCGCGCCCCATGATGGGTCAATACTTTTCGCTCCAAACACTGACCCGCATGGAGCGGGTAAAATCTGACCTACTCCATACTATCACTTAAAACCCTTCCGCTTCTCCTTCTCGTTTGTATTTGAAGGGGATCTGAAAGTTGGGCGGTGTCCAGAAGAAGTTGGAGATGAGAAAGACACAAATACCACCTGACTCATTGATGATGCGGAGAACAACAATGTTGTGATCATAACATAATGAAAAGCTAATCAATTCGTGTTCTTCAACGATACCAGAGAGAAGAGATGCTCCAGAGTAACGACAAGATGTTTGAATCCAAATTCGAAGAAGAAACTAGAGATTGAAACTAGAGTGAATACGCGAAATCAGAAGTTGCAAAGAAGTTCTCGTTGAGAGTTATGAGAACTAATTAAAGTTAAGAGAATTGGGGATGGGTTTGTGAAAGGAAGAAGGAATTAGAAATGAGAACATGAGAGTTGGAATTGAGAAGTGTTCCCTCTTCTTATCTTTTGGCAGAAGGCTGCTTGACTATTTCGGTACACTTATAAAAATGAGTGCGTTCAATGTACCCAACTCTAAAACTAGTCTTAAGGTGTCGAACTTTGAATTTTAATTGGTATAATTAGTATAATATGATGATATAACATAGGACCCCAACTAATTAATGTATTACCCTAAGCCCTAGACCTCCAATTTTGAATTATATCCCTAAACCCCAAATTGTAAACCCTAACCCTAACCCTAAATCTCTAAACTCTAAATCCTTCAAATTAAAGTGAATCTTGAATGGTTTTTTGCGAATTCATGTGCTTTATTGTTCATCACATCATAAGTGACGATTGACATTAGTTTTACATTATTCGCATGTTAAAAATGACGGTTATAAGACGAGTGCACTGATTGCACAAAAAAAAGTGAGTGCACCGAAGACGTCACTATATATATATATATAGCTAGGGTTCTTTAGTTCTCTAGTATAGTTACATAGCCCATTTACAAAAAAATCCATTTACATAGCCTATATCTCAACCCAACATCAAACGTTGGGCTTTAACAGGGCGGAGCCGGGCATGGTGGTTTACAATTAAATATCCAAGTTTAATATGTTCTTACCACGGGTTGGGTCGAGATCCACCTCGTTCAAGTGTGGATCGGATTTTATCCGCCCCATTGCAGGTCCGCGGGAATATCCATCAGGGCGGATCTGGTTTGTCATCCCTACTTCTAACTATGGAGTGGTATCCTATTTCACTTTGATGTTGTGAAACCTAGTCTAGGATGTGTAACAGTGTTAGATTTCTAAAAAATTGTCTTAGGAAGCACCCTCACTTCTCTAGCAATGGTAATTGTTTTTAGTTTTATATTTTCTTATTTAGTAACTTTTCAATTAGATTAAAATAATGGATGAGATTAGAAATTGCTACTATATTTTAGGATTGTTGAAGGCTAAAAATTGTCAATTCTAAAATTGAAGATGTGGTTATAACTTATAAGGACTACATTTCTTTTAGTAATTGCCAAGGTTGTCAAACCGGTTTATGCCAGTGTGTCGGTTTAACAAGTGGAATGGTTCGACCGGTGGTACATATCGGTTTGTGCCGGTTCATGCCGGTTAATATTACAAATAATTTACAAATACTCATATTTAAACACGACATTTAACGTCAACACCTGAATATTTGTACTTGAATCCAACAAATAACATTAACATTTAACTTTTTAACGCATAAAATAAATAATAAATTACTTTTTATTAATTAAATTCACTAAGATAAGATCATTTTACTTGGAGATTCGTATATCGATCATGCCGGTCATACTGGTAGCGTCATGCTGGTTTTATGACCGATACAGGTTGAACCAGGTTCAACCAGTGACACGCACCATGGTAATTGCTAATCAACTTTAGGTATGGATGGAGATGATCTTACACAAACAAACAAGAACTTTCGAGAGTTTCACAAACCATCGCTAGTCGCTACAATACGGCTCAGGGTACGAGGTAGGTCATTCCTCCAAGTCAAACCATACCATCCGCGGAACCGGAGAAGAGTCGAATTGACTACCGTAACTGGGTTTAGTTGATTCCAGACTTGTGTTTGTTTGAATTTGAGTACGGGTCTGTTGATTGACTTTAACCGCGCCGCAAATCTACTTCAAGGCTACAGAAGGACTCTGGTCAGTTGTGTAATCATGTTAGCGTGAAACCAGCCGGGCCGGAATCATAGGAGGAGGAGGAAATGGAGCTGATTAACATTTGATGTGGGCGGAGCAACTGGATAGCTTGCCGCCGCTGGTGTTTGGTTGCTAGAGAAGAACTGAAATGGAAGCAGTAGCGGAAGGGCTATGGGGACTGGCGGACTACCACGAGAAGGAAGGGGAGATAGCCAAGTCCATAAAGTGTTTGGAAGCCATTTGCCAGTCCCATGACTCCTTCTTGCCAATCATCGAGGTCAAGACCCGTCTTCGACTTGCCACTCTCCTTCTCAAGCATACCCACAACGCCAATCACGCTAAATCCCACCTCGAGCGCTCTCAGCTACTCTTGAAATCCATCCCTTCCTGCTTCGACTTGAAGTGTCGCACCTTCAGCTTGTTGAGCCAGTGTTATCACCTTGTCGGCGCCATTCATCGCCAGAAACAGATTCTTCACAAGGCCCTTGACCTTGCCGCTTCTGCTAATTCAGAGTTAGATGCCCTTCTGTTCCATACATTGATCCCTTCCTTTCTCTTTCCTTTTGACAGATACTTATATGAGTGCTATTTTTCTTGCTGTGTTCCTTTCCTCCTGGGTTGGTGTGAATTCAGTGTGTCCGCAAACCTCTGGGCTTGTAACTTCAATTCCCAGCTCGCCAATGCTTTGATCATTGAAGGAGATTGCAGCTCTGCCCTCTCTGTTTTGGAGTCTGGTTATGCTTCTGCTACTCAACTATATTATCCCCAATTACAGGTTTCTACTCGGAGTGCCATCTTGTTCTCTACATATGCTAGTTTATAGACTTCGTTCTTTACAGGCTTCTATTGGTCAGGCCATCGTTGTCTTCTTACCATATTCCCAGTTGCCTGTTGCTTACTGCCGTTTGACATGGGTTGTATCAGATGTTCTTTGCCACTTCGATCCTTCATGTGCACCTTATGCAATGGCCTGATGATAACCTAGTTCAGAGTGCTCTTCACAGATGCGACGAGATTTGGGGCTCGCTCTCCCCGGATAAAGTAAGCTCTTGCATTCTCATTTTATTAATTGGCATCTTTTCCTTGTCTGCTTCTCTACTTGTTTAGCATTTCTCAAAAGAACATGTATTCTGTCATACTGACACTTCAATCCGGCTTGCTACAATTAAGACAGAACAATGCTTAGGCTTGTTCTTTTACAATGAACTCCTACACATATTCTATCTACTCCGTGTCTGTAATTACAAGAGCGCTACCCAGCATGTGGACAAGTTGGATGCTGCTATGAAGGCAGACTTGCAGAAAATGAGAGAAATACAGCGACTGTCCAATGAACTTAATGCCATCAGTCAAAGTTTGTCGCGGTCTGACCTACCAAACAGAGAGAGGTTACTACTCTCTACCAAGCAAGCCCATCTTCAAGATCAGATCACAAGTCTGAGTGCATTTAGTTCCTTCCTAGAGCAACCTCTGGAACCTGCCTACTTTGGGAATGCATCTCGGGCATGGCAAGATAAGCTTTTCCTAGCACCTCCTCCTGTTGATGGGGAGTGGCTGCCGAAAAGTGCTGTGTACTCTCTGGTTGACCTTATGGTGGTTGTGTTCGGCCGTCCAAGAGGGCTATTCAAGGAGTGTGCAAAGCGGATTCAATCCGGAATACAAACTATCCAAGGTTTCTCTTTTATTGAATCAGAGCTCTCCCTCTTTGATCTTGTCCCAGTATGTGAGACTAAATTCTAGTATATGTATATATGTGGTACTGGTCAATCATGTTGTTTTTGGCTGTGTAATCTATATTCAGAGCCAGTTTTCTACCCACGTAAATGTATGAAGCCTAAATTATATAGTAATTCTATAAAACAAACATCTGACAGTCTGGAATGAGAACCACCCTTGGTTTGTAGATGAATGTCTATATTTATCCCTCATCCTAACTGCTTGTATAGAAATCTTTACAAATTTACCTGTTTAACTTGTGGCACTTGTATAGTACCATAGTATATGATTTACGGCATCGAGCTTGTATTAAATAATAAAACACTCACCACATCTCATTCAAGTCTGAATGTTAATTTGTTAGCCTTTTGTTCAATTACAGGAGAGCTGGCAAAACTTGGGATCAATGAAGGTGTTAGAGGTTAGCAGAATGTTCTCATGATGCTATGTATGATACAACTCCAGTGAATATGTTATCAATTCCAGTTTGGTAATTTCCTATGAGCAGAAGTGGATGTGCAGCACTCTTCGATTTGGATGGCTGGCGTGTATTTGATATTGCTAATGCAGTTACTGGAGAACAATGTTGCCATGGAGCTTACTCGGTCTGAATTTGTTGCTGCACAACAGGTTGGTGGTTTGTTTGCAGGATCCAAGGTTTAGTCCTGCCAATTCTCTCTTCATCGTTTCCAGCTTACCTTTAGCTGGGGCGCATAGTTGAATATTGTCTGTATCTGTTTATAGATATTGACACTTCTTTATGAGTTATGAAATATGGATGTTCAACAGTCTTTAGACAAACCCATGTCTATCTATGAGCAAGGGGTAGTTCAAAGGATGTCATCAACTAATATGGACACACACGCACACACATAAATCTACCTCCATTCCTTTGTCCAGCTAACTCATTTAAGTCTGGAGATGTGTTAATATACTGGTAGAGTACCGGTGATGTTGAGGTTGGGGAATTCTAAAAAGTGTAACATGGAATTTGTAGCATGATTGCTGGCATATGGTGTAATCTGTATCTGCAATTTTCAATTTGTTTTCTGGAACTCATCAAGAGATAATGCTAATCAAAACTATCACACTGTCAGACATTGCTGCGAATGAAAGATTTGTTCGTTCGCTTTCCAACTATCTTGCAAGGTTGTGAGAGTGTTATCGAGTTGCTCAGGGGCCAATATGCTCATTACGTTGGTTGTTATAGTGGAGCCGCTTTTCATTTCATCGAAGCAGCAAAGGTATGGTTTCATATTTGTTGCACTAGCTTCATCTAATAGTCAACCTAAATGTCAATCGATGTTTTCCTGTATTTGAATTAATTGTTTGTGTTATATATTTTTAGATGACGGAGAGTAAATCTGTGCAAGCTATGTGCCACATTTATGCTGCTATCTCTCATTTCTGCTGTGGGGATGCTGAATCATTGGCACAGGTTCCATACTCTATTTATTAGCAGATAGCTATCTTGTTATTTCAGTTAATGGTTTATCCACTAAGTTTGAGGTTCAATAACTTAATTTAAGATTTTTTTGTGTAGGCACTTGATCTGATTGGACCAGTTTATAGAATGAAAGATTCTTATGTTGGGGTGCGAGAGGAGGCAAATGTGCATTTTGTGTATGGCCTTCTATTGGTCAGGCAGAATGATTACGAAGAAGCACGGTACATACTGTTTATGATCAAGAAATATCTTAAACTAGTTTAACTGTGTGGAAGATATCTACCCAGAATTTGTTCTTGTAAGTCGTGCAGTGATAGTATTACTCAGTAATTCTCTTTGTCCTACAACAAGTGGTAGGAAGTCCATTCTATCACCACCTGGGAAAATTGGGTGATGATATATATGCAGTCTTGGAAGTTCCACCTAAGATGCTTCTTTTGGGTTCTTTCTCGTCCTCCTTTCAGCACAGGTTCAATAAAATACCGGGAGTTCTAAATCAAGCTGCAAAAAGTTAATATATCTCTCATATTGTACAAAGCTCATTTGCTCTAGCCTCAAACATACCGATCCTAAATAGAGACCGTCTGTAGATGTAGCTCCTGTTTCACTTGGAACTGAACCTGATGCATATGCTGTTGAGGCAGCAAACAAAGTGGACAACAGTAGACCCAAATTTCAATTGCTACTTGATCCATAGATATTCCTCTTGATGTTTCCTCAACTGAGGTGCAAGCAAAGCTTTTGCAATTGAATTAAACGGTTACTCTACCAGGAATCTTTCTTTATATCTTTTGTGCAGAACTAAGTTGGCTAAAGGATTGCAGATTGCACATACTAGCACAGGGAATCTTCAACTCATTTCACAGTATTTGACCATTCTTGGGCATTTGGCACTCTCCCTGCATGACACTATACAAGCTAGAGAAATTCTGAGATCTGCCCTTACGCTGGCAAAGAAGCTTTATGATGTCCCGACTCAGATATGGGTGCTTTCGGTTCTGAAAGGTACATCCTCACTGATCTCATGCCAAAGTCTGGTCTCCACAATGTTGGAAATCATTTACATGTGGTGATTCATCAAACTTCTTTGGTAGTAGGCACTTTACCAGAGACATCCTTGGATGGATATATGCTCCAGCTTTGCCTCTGTTCATGCTGTTAACAGCACTTTGCATGTACATAAAACTGGCGCATGTTTTCCATCTAAAGTATTGTTCGTATTAAAGTCCATATTTGTTCGGAAAGTCCATGATGGAGAGTTTATCAATCCATGTATGTGCAAGGCTGAGTATGGTTGCTGACCCTCTCCCTGCAATTTGTGCCAAATTTCCTCTCTTTTTCCCCCTTGCATTTTGTGTAGATTTGTATCAAGGGTTAGGTGAGGTTGGAAATCAGATGGAGAATGATGAATACCAGAAGAAGAAGTCAGATGAGCTTCAAAGGAAAATCGCTGATGCACAATCATCAATACACCACCTTGAACTGGTAGATGAAATCGGTCATCCGCTTCATTTTTTCTTCAATATTGTGTTGTTTGTTTATTCATTTACTGAGGTTGAGCACGTTGTTTTCACAAACAGATTGAGCTGTCAAGGTTCAAAGTCATTGACATGAAGCGTGGTGTGGCAGCAAGCCAATCTATGAGTGCCAATCTTGACATTCCTGAATCTGTTGGTCTATGGACTACTCAGCCGGGTTCGTCATCATCAAGGTTGCTCGATGTCGATAGCAGAAGACGGCCCAAGAGAAGGTGATGTGATTGTGATCACAATTAGAGGAGCGTCACTCAAAACTCTCTGGGTGTGTAAATTAACGATCAGCACGGCAAACCTGAACTTATATTTGAAGGTGTGTGCCAAGATCTTCTTCTAGACACCAGCTCTTAGTTAGTGACCGATTGTATTGTATGTAAAGTCACAGTAGCGGGAGATAACTTGGTAATTTGCATGTAAATGTAGTGCAAATGAAATTCTGTATCTTTACAAAGATCCCTGTTTTGAGCATAGAATACAAATAGGGTAGTGCCCGAGTCTACTGTGAGGCATGAAGGAATAGAGAAAGGTGTTCGGTTTGGTGGTCAAGCAACCTCAGTCTCAGGTGTCAGTCCAGAGATCTCTTTGAGCGGCTTCCACACAAACTGCCTCCTGGTCAAGCCACGAGGTAAAGGTTTCAGGTAAAGGTCAAAGTATCCAGTATCCTTCTGTGGTGAGTGAGATTGAAGGAGAAAGAGAGAGAGAGAGAGTTGAGATTGTTGTACCAGTTGCCGCATTCGGCGATGACACGGACTTTGGGACGGAGTGTTGGAAGCAATGCGAGGAATTGCAGCTCAGCCTTGGAAAGAACCTGCAGATGGATGAATGGGTCATCTGGCTTTTGACGTTCTATGTTACACAAGTAGGTGTTTTTGTTGAGGCAAACCAGTAATTATGATTGTACCTTGGCTTCGATCACCCAGACGATGAGGCCTTTGGCATCTGGTGGAAGCGCAGCAAGTCGATAGTCCACTTCAGGCGGGAAATACCACCTGGCAATTGGTTGCTTCCCCAGATGTGCCTGTGGTGAAAGACGGCTGAGTGTTCAAATTGTGATCAGGGAAACAGAGAAAACAGCAGTAGTAGTACTAGTACTGGTACTGACGGGGCAAACGGGATGGACTTTGGTGAGAGTGGTCTCCGGGTCGCCCAGCCCGCGAGCGGTGAGGTCCAGGAAATAGTAGCCGTCGTAACGAAGGCGGGTGAAGTAGCGGCCCTCGTAGCCGCCCTCGTGCGGCGGGTAAATGGCGAGAGATTTGTGCTGTTCCACGTCCGACAGCCACTGCCCCAAATCGAACCTCGCCAAATCCCCACCAATGAACTCCAAAATCCCTCTCCCGCTGTCGTTGCGCAAGTTGCAGCGAATTGTCGCTGCTCTCCTAGTCTGCAACGGCGCTTTCCTGCTCCAGCTCCGGCAGCCGCCACCGTCCACCAACGCCCTCTTCACTGCCGCCGGGCTGTGCCGCCGCTGCTGTACTGCAGCTTGCACCAGCTGGCAGCAATTGGATGCTGCTGCCATTTTTCTTGCTCTTTCGGCCTGGCTAATCAACTTGGATGGCTTGTTGGCCAAATTGGGACAAGGGCCAAACAGCAGAGCAAGTCAGAAAGACAAGCTCAGACCTCAGGGCATCCCCAATGCTTGTCTTTCGGGTTGGCCATTGTTTCGTATTTTGTAAGGTTGAGAAATTAGTAAGATAAGGAAAGCTGTATCTATATTCTATAATCAGAGAGAGGTGCATATGGCTCAAGATAGGGTGCATAACCATGGGTTATGCACCGATCAATAACCAAATCTGGACCCTTCATTTAGAAAATCCAGATCTAAGGATGGAGAATTAAAGACTATTTTTATTTTCAATAGCTTTCTTAATTGACTCATATCTTTTTCGCTTTAAATCGGATTTTAATTTTTTTTGCACAGATGGAACGAGTTCACCGTGCTCTACAAAATGAGATCAATTTTCAATATTTTTTTAGGAAAAAAAAATTCTGGCCTCTCGGTACCAACTGCATACCATATGGTATATTCTTCGTTTTTAATTCGTTTTTGAAAACGTTTGCACAGCAGGGATGAGTTCATCATGATCTACTGGATCTACAAATTTCTGGGTGAACAAATTACAGGACCAAAAAATACCACACAATACCATACAATACCACCCTGGTACGGGGTGGTATTGTATGGTATCTTCTTCATTTTTAATTCGTTTTTGAAAATGTTTGCACAGAAGGGACGAGTTCATCATGATCTATTGGATCTACAATTTTCTGGGTGAACAAATTACAGGACCAAAAAATACCACACAATACCATACAATACCACCCTGGTACGGGGTGGTATTGTGTGATATACAATGTTAAAAGTCGTAAATTACAATTAATATACTTCTACTATCATGTATTCAACCATCCTACAGTATTGGTTTGTTCATACCACCATGGTACGTTTTTCAAAACATAGGTATGCTTTTATTTCAATACCAGTCAATACCATATGGTATAGGCTGGTAAAAAATGGCTCAATTTTTTTTGTTCGAAAAATATATTAAAGTGGATATCATTTTGAAGAGCACAATTAATCTGATCTAACTGTGCAAAAAAAATTAAATTTCGACTTAAAATGAGCGAGAAATCGTCCGTCAAAGATTAAAGAGGGAAAAATTAAAGGCTTTTCATGAGAGAGAGGATGCTGATGTCATGCTGATGTGCACGGGTTACTCATGGTTACTCACCATAAGGTTACTGACCTGATCCTTCCCCGGTGCATATGCCCCGCTAGCGTCCAGACAACTCCCCGTCTCCCTCAGCCACGGTATTCCAGCATGGTAAACACAACAACATGAACAAATGGATTGAATTCATGTATTTGTGGATTAGGTTGGTGATTCATGGATCCAAGTGACATAAAGTTTTGGGCCGTTATATAAATTTTGAAATTTTTGGATACTAAAATGTCAGGATAAAATAATTTAGGTACAAAAATGTAAATTTTCAATGATATTTTTTGTCTAAAAAAATAAACTTTAGGTACTAAAATGTAAAAGATAAATAGCATAGATACTAAATCATAATTTATCAAATATTCATAAATATTTTAGTAGATGAATTGGATTCTTAAATTTGGATACTAATTGCCAACATTATGTTAAACACAAGATTGGGCTGGCACGCTTCGCATCCGGTCAGGGTCGCGATGGAGAATGAATTCCCTTCGATTTGCCCATCAAGCGCATAACCGCTTTAATCTTTTGAAGTGGGTCAGGCCCATCGTTTCCAAATTTTTATTGGAGGCCTGCACATTGCATTTTTAAAATTGATACAAACCCTGACATAATATGTGAAAACTAACTTGATGCCTGATCTCGTTGGCCAGAAAAAATTCAAAATTGTTATGAAACATATACTCCGGAACTCACGAGAAAATATAAGGAGAAGAACAACTTCTTTATTAAGTACATTTGTAATACATACTACAAATGGCTATAGACTATAGAGAGGTGTATAAGCTATGAAGCTTTTTGGTGTGTCTTCTTTTCTTCACTAGCATTGCTTTTATATGCAATAAGCAAGCCTATATCAATCAATATCATTAGGAGGAGGTTGGGAAGATGGTGATGTGGAGGGTAGACATCCACTAAGACATATATTATAACACTCCCCCTTGAATGTCCATAGTTCAAGAGTACTTTATTTGTAATACGCATTTGTATACAACCTCATTAAAAACCTTACCAGGAATATGTTATGTCCTGTCGCCTTTGATATATTCTTCCTTCAATTGATGAAATATGTTCTATCCTCGTACATGACAGTCGAAATCATCTCTTCAGGAGAAAACCTGCAAGTCTCTTTATTTTTTAATTATGGATCTCAACCAAACACATTCATAACTTGCTCTGTGTGTCGCTAAATTTTGCATGATAAGAAGATCTGGCTGTTATAGTTTGCTTTATGGATCTACATGAAATGATTGATTTCCCTATGTAAACAAATAACCCATTTGTGATTGACCATTATGTGGATCAGACAGATATCCAGCATATGCGTATCCCACTAAGTCATCTTTAGGTAATTTTGAATAGAACAAACTCATATACATTATTCCTCGAATATACCTTAGTAAATCTTTTATGCCATCCAATGTCTTCGAGCAAGGGAAGAACTAAATCTTGCTAATAAGTTGATAGCAAATGATATGTCTGGTCTTGTATGATTAGCAAGATACATTAATGCCCCGATCACACTAAGATATGGTACTTCTAGATCAAGTATCTCCTCATTTGTGAGTCGATAATATGTGTTATTTTAGGAAGAAAATGTGTGCGGGATTCTCTTTTGCTTTGTTTGATTTTTGAACTCGAAGCTGTTAAGGATTTGTGTGCATTAGAAAAGAAAGAAAAGTGAGAAAAATCTTTTGAAAATGAGGCTCACATGAGAGGCAACCAATCCTCACTGATTCGGAGTTCCCTTTGAGGATATGCTTGGGGATCAGATAACTTTACCACGTGCCGACCATCTTTCGCTACTTACATCCCCATGCATCTTTCCTCCTCACGGAATCGTATTCCAAGGTCCAAAGTACATTTTAGCGATTCATGGGACCTTAGAGCGCTCGTTTATACCCAACACGTGTGGCAACCCAATGTGGAGTGTAGGCTGGGAAGTGGTGCTCGGGCTAAGATGAATCCGCCCATCAACTTCCCCACATGTGAACTTGAAAGGGAAGGCTAAGATTCATCCGCTCTTGGCCAAAGAATTTCAAAAGCTCGGTGCAGTGCGCGCCAATGTTGAAAAAGGAGATCAATAAACGACAATTTCTAATCGTAAGAGAGAATATAAAGCACCTTCGAGAATTCTTGTGCTTATTTGTGTTAGAGAATCCCCCAGAGCACACTTTGAATATTCATCCTAAGGTAGTGGGTATGGTCCTCACCCGAGAGTTTGTGCTTGCACAGTAACATGATAGTAACTTTCATTCATCTCCGTCTACTCTTCTTTATGCAATGAAGAACTAGAGTGCATTCCCCATTGATTTGTCTATCATGTTGCATTAGGTTTCAGTAGGTTGGCTTGGGGAAAAGCAAACGCCTAAGTGTGGGGGAGTTTGATAACACCTAAATTGGTGTTATTTACCCTTCATATTGAGGTTTATTTTGTGCCAATTCATGTGCATAAATGCTTAAACATCGTCAATTGCATCCCTATTCCGTTCCTATTTGAATTCGGTATGATTTTAGGGTGTGCTTGCCGATATATGCCAATTAGGTACAAAACAAGATCACAAGTGTAGCAAGTGAGCAGAAGACTGGAGATCGTGGCCTAGAAGTGAAGATCACGGCCGTGATCCTGGACCACGAAGTCAAGCCGAAGTTTGCGGCCTGGAAGCCCAAGATCGTGACCATGAATTGGAGGGCTTAGGTCGCAAACTTCGCGAAGAAGGAGCAGAGGAGAAACAGAGAGTTTCCCCAGTTGAATCACGATCATAGTGCATTTTGACCACGAGGAAGATCACAACCTCGACTCATGGATCGCGACGGCGAATTTAGCTCTCGATCTCGTCAATTCCGAAGGCCAGTACGACTACATTTCAAGATCGCGACCTCATCTCTGAAGTTCCCTCCCGCGATCTCTGCACTTCTAGCCGCGAACTTGTCCGTCCTCTGATTTCCTATAAATAGGAGACTCCTTCCCCCTTATTTAGTGAGCAGATTTTGAGATAGAATTTCGGATTTTAGAGAGAGAGAAGAGAGAGAAGCCGAAGGAAGGAGAAGAGGAGAAGAAGGAGCTAGAAGAGAGGAGACATCTTCCTCTACCTCAAGTCTTCTTCAATTTCTTCTATGTATCTTCTTCCCTCCTTTATGGAGTAGTCCTCTAAGGTACTAGGGATTCTAAACTCAAAACCCTAGTTTTAGGGTTTACTATGTATGTATGTATGTATATTTTAGGGTTTGAATGAATGTGTTTATCTAATTGATTCTATTGTTATTCTATCCTTGATTGTGTTTGGGTAAGTCGCCCTAACATTCTCTATTAGCCTACTTTATGCTTCTACGATGGGTATGGAGTTCTAGGATTAGACGGGTATGCGCCATCAAGCAAATCGAGGTAGATGTATGAATAGGGACCTATGATGGTCGAGGCGAACGAACCCCTGCTATAGGTAGCATTCCTAGATAGAACCCGGGATAAAACCTCAGTGTGGATGGTAGATAGTATCCATTGAAAGGAGCTACGAGCTTAGTGCCCAAGATGTGATAGCCTAGATCGAGGTGACTTTATATGGATCTAGGGGAGGTGTACTCGGAGGTGTGTGGATAACCACGAAAGCCCACAGAAATGAGCTCACTCACCACATTTGATAACCCTAAGTATCTAAACATACATAGTAGCTCTAGGCTATGGTGAGGGATAGTTCCCCGAAGTACCTACTTTTAGCTTTATTCAATCTCTAAACTAGTAATTCCCTCAAATCCTCCACTCAAACCTCCAAAACCCAATTAACTAATTAACAACGAGGTGGGAAGTAGGCTAGGGTACCAGGATCCGAATAAAATACGACCTTGATTACCACTATACGACAATGCCATCTTAAATTAAACTTGACTTAAAACAGGGTAGTTGTTGACACGTGCTAACCATTGCAATAATCTGCACAGACTCAAGTGTTAAAAATCTGACCATGCATATACAGTAACTCACACACGTGCTTTTGTGTATGCATTTCATATGAATATATACCATGTTAATATAATTGAAGGGGT